TAATAAATTGTTTTGTTTTCTTGTTTTGAATTGTTTTTACATATGTCTATGTACATATTATATAAACTACAGTCAAAATTATAGTAAATTATTATTATTTATATTATTTAAATATAAGTATGCTATATACTTAGTTTAACAGCTCTGCATTTCTAAAAAGTTCACAATTAATTGTATTTAAATTTCATCTTTGAATAATTCAGTGAACTGTAAAGGTTTGAAAAATCAAAAAAAAATCGTGCCAAATGTGAGTATACTCCCGTGGCCATACGTTTATATATATATATATAGGCTATGCATATACAATGGTATTATTATTATCACTATTGAATACAGTCAAACAACACTAAAATATAATTAAACAACATTGCGTCTAACACTTCGAAACAGTCCTTGACCGGATAGATTTAAATAATATTATGATTTCGATAGTTATCGTAACATTGACTTTGAAAAAAAAAAAAAAAAAACAATTACAAATTTTCTGCTAGTTAAAATTGTATTTGGTTATTTGATATACTTCAGTGGGTCACAGCTCCAGTAATATAATTTTCTCCAAATATTTTGCGGTATAGATTCAAGGTCACCGATAAATTGTCAAGTGCGTAAAAATAATTGTGATTATTTTACAAATTATGCAAAGAGTATATAAAATTGTTGACTACGAGTTCTTGTCATTTTATATTTAACTACACCTGAAATCAAAAAATCCTAATCATTAAAAATCATGAATATTTTTTTATTTATATTATATTATTATGGTTGGTAAAATTAAATAAGATTTTTTTCYATATAATATCAAATATAATAAATAGAATTAACTATTATTACGTTACTAGTGAGTGCAGTGACTAAGCCTAGCAGAAATAAGTACCGCGGACACGGGTGGGTTGTGTTGACGGACATTGCAGTAAATATCATTTGCAATAAATAATTTTTAATCTTGAAATAATTTCATCCGGAGATAATCACCATTTTTATTACAATGATATAATTATCAAATACAACATTTTATTTTGCATGTAAATTGATTAAGAACAAAATATTTGTAATACATTTGAAATATTAATATGCATAGATTTCTTACAAATTGGGAAAAACGGTTTTAAATAAATAAAATAGACTACAGCATAAAATATACCACACACTATTTTTTATCGAAAACCCAAATACATTCCGGACTTTAAAAACTTTTACTAAGTTCCCCAAGAGGTTTGGTAGAAGCACTAATTTTGTTCAAAGTTGTGATATTGTGATCATCCAAAATTTAAAAATTACATATAATGTTTAATACAAATAAGCTGAAAATATTATTGTAACATTTGAAAAATTATTACTTAAAAAGTACTTATCTAACACCAATTTATTTCAATTTTTTTTATATAAAYGATAAATAGTATAGATTTTTTACATTTAAAACTATGTAAATTTTTAATAATTATACACCTTTGGTTTTTAGATACATCCTAAAAATTAAGTCTGTGGTTTAATCCACTAAAAGTGTTTGGTTTTTGAATTTAACGATTTTTTATGATTAAATGTAGGTAGGTAGGTAATTAATTATAAATTATTAATATCAGTATACCATGTATAAAAGTCAACATTTAATTAACCCTGACTGATGTGGTTTCTCATAACTTCACATTGAGGAATACTAATGTATTACATTTACGCAAAATCTATTACTGTCCCTCGATCACTGTACTCGCTTAATAGTGACATGTTGGCTTGTTCTATAATCTGCGAATCAGAAATATCCCTTGATCTATTAATCTATTATAAAAAACCACGTTGTATACATAGGTATTTAGGTTGGGATAGACCAGARGTCGAAAACTCTTGACTGATGTCGCAAATTTCTATGTTCAAGCAGCTTTTGTAATTTTTTTCAATTATTTAAAAGGTTTCGTGAATATTATTTTTTATTTTGACACCTCAAACTTCAAAGTATAAACTGAATCTATTTTTCTACCATAAAACGCCATTAAAGTTAAATATTGAAGTGTTTACATTCTGTTCCAAAAGATGATGACAGGCAGAAACAGACATACGAATAAAAAAACATATCATTATAAGACCATTATATTACTCATCACCCCGCTCCGAATTTAAAATGATATAGCCTTATAGTTCATTAATTATCACAAAATTGACAATTAATAATGAATTAAGCAATCTATTAAATGTTATAAAATAAAATCATCAGAGTTTAAAGACATAAACGCACATAATAAAGAAACTACCTATTTAAGCTTATAAGTGAACGTATGTGATCGCGAGTRAATATTACGTTGATATTCAAATTTATTTAAAAAAATTATTCAAATGTTTATTTATAAGATAATCGTAATTTTGTATCTTTAATATTTTTAAATTTCTAAAATTATATTTAAAAATTTTACTAAAAACCTTATATAACATTTTCAAGAATTTACACCCAGCAAAAATTTTTATCATTGTTTACGGAAAAAATTAAAGAAAATCAAAATTTTCAAATATCTATTAATAGCTCAACGTGTCCAAATATTTTGAAAATCCATTTCAAGTATCTATGGTTATTCATTTTTTTTTCTGTTTTAACAAAAATATGAAAAAAAATCGATTTTGACGAAAACTAGTTTTGCGTAAAAGTTGTCGTTTTCTCAAATTGAATTTTGGTTTTTCCTGTTATTTAGAAAATTACTAAACATTTTTTACTTTTGACCTCCCATAATTTCAAAAAGAATCATATTTCTACCATAAAATATAATTAAGTTGAAGATCAAATCATTTATCTGTTATAAAAAGTGTCATCAGACAAAAAAACAAAAGACGTTATGTATTATCTATTTTAAAATTACTACATTTACTTCGCTCTAAATCCAAAAATTATAATTTTAATAGTATGYACCTATATTTGTGGTCTATGTTTAGTTTCTTTAATTTTCAATATGTTGAGATTTCTTGATGTAATAGCGATAACTGTTCATCTTCAATCATAATTTATACAATTTTCAGTCAGAGGTTTAGGATTTACAATATTTTATGATGGTTGTAATGGGAGGAAATATGGATAGAATCATTTCACTGTTCTACTTTCCCATTTTCAATTCAATCATCAAATGGCAATTGCTTATAGATACCATACAGTAGCTAGGTTGAGACATTATATAATAACATTATGTTCGACATATATAACTAACAATATATTACGTAAATTTAGATAATATTATATGAATGCCTGTTAAAGTATATTACTTGTAGGTAGATACTTACAGTTTTTATATACTATATTTTATTTATACAAACAAAACAATATATAAGATTAAAAATGAATTATTATTCAAAAATCATTTGTAATGTCAAATTTTAATAGTTAATAGACAATATTATTAAACCCAAGAGTAGGTACCTATATTTTTTTGACATTATTTTTAACATTATTTTATTCTTATAAATTGCATTAATTGYGTGAACAATTTTGTAACAATAACGTATGTTTTTTCGTTACTTTTTCAATCGGATTTCATCCGAGATACTGTTTCGCGTTTATATAAAAATTTTAAATTAAAAAAAAAGAAAAGATTTCTTTGTCAGTAATACAGTAGTATTATTGAATGCAATATTCTGAAAAAAAAATGTTTCAAAAGCTATTATTTTCAATATTGGAAAAATATCAAAAAATTAATTAAAACGATTGAATTGATGAATTATTGAAAAAAATGTTATTATAAGATAATTCAATAAGTCATTTTACTCCTTTACACTAATTAATTTTATTAATAATAATGATCGCAAAACAATCTAATATACATATATATATATATATAGTATACAGAATATAGATATCAATATTGGTTTTTGATTATCTATGCATAATACATATGTAGACAGATCATATTGTATACATCATAATATGGTTTATAGTTACTATAATAATTATTAAAGTAGGTACTATATTATAATCTATACTATAAAATTATTATTAAGCGTATTTTGTATTTTCCCGACCCAAGAGCACATAYAAAGAGTTGAATGTGATGATCAGATATACCACCCATAGACATTGTTTTATTTTTTGAATAAGTACTGTAGGAACTTAAAAGTTAAAATTAATTTTAACACTAACGTTCTAAATTATGATATAAAACCTATGATTATAAATACATTAAAATGGCTATTTTGCACAAATAATTTAGGTAATTTTYCACTGATTCTCAATATTTGAAACTTATGAATAGTGAATACACTAGTACTCAGATTATCGCTTAAATACCCAAATATTATTGAACAATACTCGGAACTCTATATGTTATATAGCTAGTAAATAATATTCAGTACTTATAGTATATGCATTTTTTTTTATTTAAATAAATATCAAAAACTTACTCGACCTCACAGAGAAAAACTCGTTTGGAAGCCGAAAAACTAAATTAATTTGCCAGCATTTTATCAATATTTTTGTTTTTAGTATAGAACTAAATTATTTGATATTATAATATTATCTATTATATAATATAACGTTTTCGTTTTTGTAGACCATCGTTGTATAAAATAATAACGTGCATTTGTAATATTATAGACTAGGACGTCCCGCGAAATCAAAATATAATAATATCGTCTTCACGAAAACGAACGTATTGGATGTAGTACTGGTGTCCACACACTTCCAACAATTATAATTGCAGTTTAGCGCCGAGGCGATGGCCGTTTAATTAACCATTCCGGTAACAACGGTGATTGTGGTACTGAAAATGCGGTAACGACAACGGTTACCTACTTATTTGTACTTACAAGTGTGCGGGATAGTGTGCGCATGAGCACTGGAAAAGGCGGTTTTGTTGGGCGATGATTCGCGTCCGGCGGCGTGTGCCGAAAGCCCGTGGCCAATGATCGTCGTGACCCGTGACAACCACAGTAGAAGAGTTGCGACCAAGGTGGCAGTAGCGGCGGCGGTGACGGTAGCGGTGGCTCAGCAGGTCACCACTTGGTCCTCCGGTTGGCCCGCGGCAGTCTGCAAGATGCGCTCGTCCGCCGAGGTGACCGTCATCACCATCGTCGTCCGGCTGACAGCCGTTCTAATGCTACTGATGGCGTTTGCGCACCCAGCAATCGCCATGGGACAACTCCAGGGCCAGTACAACGGCCCATATCCAGACATATGCCCCAGGTAGGTTTTTACTCATGTATTTCGCTAGTCTTTCTTTGATAACAACTATATATGCACCTATTTTCGGATGTTCTATCTCATACCTCCAAGAAACTCTAAACAATTTGAATAGTATGAAATCACATTAAAATCCTTAAACAAATAAATGCAARATCCAAGAATGAGCATTAAAAATTAATAATAAAATTTCTGTGATCGAAATATATGATTTGTATGTTTTGAATTTAAMGCAACTTATCAATTTTAATATACTACATTATATAGCTTTATATATTAAATAAATCGCTTAATTTTAGGTTTAYATGTTGTATTAACACACATAATGTGTTAAGATTTCAGTTGGCATAAAAACAATTTTCGAGGCTTGGGTTTCCGAAGATTAGTAATTATTATAAATTATAATACTAATTACTACTAATTAGATGTACATGGCGTGGTTTTATGATAATAAATTCGTATATTTAATTTCAAGTGATTMAATGTCCACTATATACATATTTTAGATTCTGAGTGGAGCAAGGAATTKATTGGTTTTACAATGATGTTTAATTCTTTTTGTTTTTATTTTTTATTCTGTAAACACTTTTCACCCTCTAAACTTGCTCAAAAGTATCAAGTGTAGCTTCTTTTCTGAAAGATAATGTTCTTGAGCTAGTACTTCAGACGAATCATTTTTCGATTTTCGAAATGGTATTCGAAATAAAAGCGGTTAAAGGAAAAAAAAACGTACGATTTCACAATTTTATAATATTAAATAATTACGGACGACGTTTTTTTTTTTTTTTTTAATTATAACAATATAATTAATATAGTATAATATATCCTAGACTGATAAACCGTCTCCATTCAGAATAATTTTTAGTATATACAATGATATCACATCATTGAATTCAAATTTAATACTATCCATTATTCAGTAACCCGCTTGTAATCTACTGTATACTGTAGAGCGACATCCACTTACTTACTAGCTTTTTTTATACAGTATGTTTTTAAAAGTAAAAGTAAGTAATTTTGCTAACAAGTGGACACAAACACGTGCCATTTTCTTAATATTATATTGATCTGCTGCAACAGCATTCCGAAGTATTACTATTATGAAATGTCTTGCAACTTTGACTTATGTTCAACTTTAAAGTTTAATGTTTCATCATGGAAGTAGATTTTATTGACGTATTTTTATGATTTATTGAGTTTCTAACTTTCTAAGTATTATATGATATTTTTAAAAATCTTTAATACATTTTATGACTTAAACATTTCAACTCGATTATAGATATAATACTGCAGACTGCAGTGTTGTATGTAAATTACGAACATCAGATTAYCAATATAATTTGTATTATTTACGAAATAATGCACTTCAAATATAAGAAGCAAAATCGATARCATTTATATATTTATGTCACATACTTTTAAACATTTTGAAATTTTGAAATTTTGAACGTAATTCAAATATACTATTCATTTAAATATGTACCTATGTTAAAATATTTAAAATTTCACGGAAAATAAAATTTTTTAGGTTAAGTATAAATTTATAATTTTAAACTTTTATGTTAGCTTTAACCATTGGCGCAACTAGGTCTAAAATATTGGGGGTGCTAAAGCCCTACAAATAAATTTAGTCAAAGTGAGCCATGGGGGGCTCCCATACCCCCATTACCGCAGCCACAGAACAATAATTATTAATTGAAATAAAAACAATTATAAAATATTATTACCATACTATATTATTTTAAATCATGTACCTACTTCTATGTAGTATGTTTTACATAAAATATTTAAATATTATGACATTATCGATAATCTCATARATTATAATTTGTAATTTACATAATTAGATCTATCCGTCTATTATTATTGATACCTATAAAATGTTCTAAGACAGTATCATTGTCTATTTTATTAGTTAAATCTCTTTCAATGTTTAATAAAGCTAAATTTGAAAAGCGGTCTTGTGACATTGTTGAACGTAGCCAAGTTTTTACCCGCCGCATAGCAGAGAATGCTCTTTCACAAGTAGCACTACTAATAGGAATTGTATAAGCTATGTTCAAYAATTTATACAAGTTTGGAAAAGTGTTAGATGATACGATTTCAGCCATTTCTGCAGGTGTCAACATTTTATTATCGGTAGATAAGAATATTATTATTAATTATGTAGGATTGTAGGAATTCCAAATTAAACTATAGCAATATTATTTTATATTTGTACAATATACTTTTGAATAACTCTCTGCATCATATACTACTAATATTATTTAGTATGCATCTCACTATCCCATGCTTAAATTATCATTAAATTTTAAATAATCGAATAAAATTGTGGAGGGGGGGGGGCTAAGCCCCCCTAAGCCCCCCTAGTTGCGCCAATGAGTTTAACCTAACCTAACCTACTTATTAGGATGTAATCATATTCATATATATTATAGAATATATATTAATGACTAATAACTGGAATCTAATTAGTATTCGATAATTATTTGCACCATACAGTTAACTTTTTATTTCACAAAAGAAATTAAAATTATTTATTTTAAACTYACTAGAATTTTAAATATTGGCACATTATGTACGTATATACTGCGATTCATTAAATCTGCAGACCCCTCATTTTTTCCTTTATTAGTGAATTTATTCAAATTTTTTTTTTTTGAAATTCTAAAATCTTTATGAATTTTAATTTTACTTAAGAAGTTGCCTGTGGAAACCCTCTTTTTTACTGCAAATTATTTCGTGGGTAAATTTAAAAATGTTGATGTACRTAATTCTAAATTTGAAGGAATAGTTTCTCAATTATTAAAGTMATTATACTGAACACTCTGTTCCTTAAAAATGGTATTACAACAATGTAAAAAATATGTGATGTTGGATCTTGTATTTATTTTACCTACTTGGACCAATTTTCATAAATTATATATATATATATTAATATTAATCACTAATATTCTTAAATAATCGTAGCACCTAAATCATCCTAGCCCATTATCATGAGACCTACTTCATCACATCACATCCTTAATGTGTGAATGTAAATATTAACTAAAAAATTATTCGTTTAAAATTTGATTTATYAAAATCAAATTGTTTAGAAAAATTATCTGCTAAACAATTTACAGTAAATAAAGAGAGTTTTAGTTTGAAAACATCTTTGTATCTCCATAGGACATTTTGGCAGTACAAAAAATCTTAAGAATTTGAAAACATTATGAATCGTTTCAAAAATTTTGGTATGGTCTTTAAGTAGATATATTATATRAAAATTTCAAAAATCAGATTTTGAATTCATGAATTATTTTTAAAAAAGTAGGTAGGTAATYATACATATATCAATCTACATGTTATTATATATTGGATAATTTATATTCAATATAGATATTATATTAATTTATGGTTGGTTAAGTATTGAGTAAAATTATATACATAATAAAATAGATAACTTATGGGACATACTGTCATGCCTTATAATTATTTTCACAATATAATAACATTCATTGSTCAATGTTAATATACTTGGTGTATTGTAAAGTTCTATTAAATTAATTTCTTTGGATAGACTTTTTTATATTTTATTTACTTAAATTAACTAATATATTTGCTGTTTTAATTATTTTTAGAATAAATAAATAATTATTGCTTATTTTACTAATATTTTAAAACTATATATTATAGACCCTTAGTACTATATGAAAATTAAGTAAATTATGTTAAAAGTATCTATTTCACAGTAAGTATTGCATATACCTATTTCACATTTCGTTTGAATATGTAATATCACAAATTCACCCGGTTCTATTAAATGATGTACATAGGTAACTGTTTTATGAGTTATCGCTAAACAATTGCTGCTAAATTGCTCTCTCTCTCTCTCTCTCTCTCTCTCTCTCTCTCTCTCTCTCTCTCTTAAATATTTCCTAATAATTGTGTATACACCAACCACATAATTATTACAAATAATGATGTTTTAATGTTCAAATGTATGGCGATTAGAAAACCTTTTTTGCTTCATTATTTGTATATTATTTTTTAATGCATG